GGGAGCGGGGTCCGCGCGGCAGCCCTCCCCGCGTGGGCGCGGGCCGGGCGCAGCCTGGACGGCCCGGCGTCTGACAGGCTTGGGTGGCGCTGGGGGAGGGGAGGATGGGCGTGGGAGTGCGGGCCGGGGTCTCCGTTGCGGGCAGGGTCTGCCAGAGGAGCTTCTAAATTTAGATTTCGGGGAAGACCGTGTTGTCTGAGCGTCTGTCCGAGCCTCCTCGGACGACGTCTGGCTCTTTGTAATTCCTGGGAATTTACCTGTGCCCGTGCTTGAAACACCCAGCGGGAACATCTCAGCTGATGGTGCACACTGTCCGGACCCGACCCGGGGGAACGCGGGCGGGGGGCAGGGAGGCGACTGCGCGACCAGCTGTATTGTCCTCTTGTTTTTGGCAGATGCGAATCACTTGGATTCGGACGAGTTTACTTTGCTCCGTGGGAACTGCACCAAAGCTGGAGGTGGGAGTGCACCCTTTTTAAGGCTTCGTTTCATCTGTTTTTTTTTCTGCTAAAGTATGTGGTGTGCTCTAGAAGCTGCAACCTAACACCTATAGGAGGCCAGAGACGGTGATAAGGGGAGGTGTGGCATCCTCCCAAGGACTCTGGACTTCGCTCTTACAGACAGAGTTGCCTTCCTTTTTAAACAGAATCCCTTGTAGACCTGAACTTACGCTTACCTTTCTTCCCCATCCCAGTACGTTTTTGGTTTAGTTTTGGATGTGGGCTTGGAAACTGAGGCAGTGCTGAAAGTAAAGCAGTGACCTCCGGGCAGTGTGTCTATGCGTTTTATTAGCCTTTTCCAGCCATAAAACAGTTGTCTAACCTCTGAGCTCGCTGTGTGGTCATGAGTATCCTTTCAGCGCCATTTACTTCCTTATTTATTTTCGAGAGACCTTGAGTCTACAGGGCTTTTTGTAGTTTTTCTGTTTTGTTTTATGAGAGGGGAGTTATTTGCTTGTTTTTCCCTGGATCCCTCAGGTGTGAAAAACACCATGGGGTACCATCTGGTCAGTTCCCCGTTGGGCCACTAGGAGGATTGTAAGAGACAGTGGACGCTGCGGATTTAAATATGTAGATGCTCATCTCTGTCTCCTGCTTTACGGCTTGAGTATTGAACTGTCATTTTGCCAAAATGACCTGAATGGAGCCTGCCTCGAATTATTTGATTTTCCTTCAGAAGAGACTTGATTACTTTATCTCAGTTTCAATTTGTGATCTTGATGGGGAGAACATATAGATTAGTCAAAATTCCACTTTTTCTTTATATAATATAGGTGTATTTTTGAAAAATTAATAGACAACCTGCATTACATTCAGCTCTCCACTTGGTGAATCATAGACATAGAGAAAACATATGAACTGTGATTTTGATTCACTGCTTCCATTAGTAAAAGAATTACTTGATTAGAAATGTTATACACAAGCAAAACTTAGGAGAAACCGTTAGATACCAGTAAGCTGGCCTCTAATAATAAAAATTGGTTTTTACTGTATACATTTGGAGTTTTTCTTTTTTTTTAATTAAAGGTCTGAAAAAGAACTGTGTTTGATATGCAGATATGATAGAAGACTGCCTGAAAGCTGCTTCCTTTGCCACTTCCTGTGGAGGCCTGTCTTTGCCATTTGCGGTTTCTTTCTTCTTTTGGTAAGGGGAGGCAGGATCTGATTACAGGTTTGAGGTCCTTTCTAGCTACATAGAGGAGTTAGTTGGCATAACAGGAGGCAAGTCTTCATTAACTGGAGTGCAAAGTACAGCTAGTAGTAGCCTCTTATTCCTCTGAAGGCTATAAACTACAATTTTTGTATTTTTATATGAGAGTACAGTTTGAGAAGGCAGAAAACTTAGAGGATGACCAGAGCTGTATTCCTGTCTTCAGTAAGAGAAAGAATCTCTTTTTATATCTGTTTATTCACTCTGTCTTCCAAGGAAAATGTCACAGTTTCTGGGACTAATCCCTTGCAGATTCTATAACAATGCTTACCACTGAGCTAGTCTCTCTTGTAGCTAACCAGGAACCTCCAGAACCTGTTCCCGCCTGCATCAGAAGAGCACATGCATGCCTCTGCAGCACTTCTTGATTAAGGAGCTTTTTTCTTTATTTCCTCCACTGGTCTTTTTGCTACACAGAGGCAGGAATGGAAGAGGCTCTAAAGGTGTTAACTTTACGTGAGCAGGGTCAAGTTGATGCTCCACATTGCGTTTAATTGGTATCCAACAACATGGATGGCATCTGACTTCTGGAAAAGGCCTGTCTTTAGCATTAGAAGTGCACCTTGCTTTAGTGCGGTGTCATCCGCAGTGCCCAGCACTATGCCTGTGTCACTCGGTTTCCCACGGTGTTTGATCATTTATAGATGCCTGTCTCACGGGTATGATGCCCTTCTTACCTCTATGTAAGATAATCTCTTGAAAAATAAGATATCTAGAGCCTTGCATTGGTGTAGTTTGCAGGGCTGGACTTCCACTGGGCATGTGACTATGAGCAGCCACATTCTTACTACCTTTTGCATTCTTTCCCAATCTACAGTGGTTATTCCTGTGAGCCCCCACTACTTTGAGCCCTGAGTTTTGCATCTTTTTCTAACCTGTAACTTTGATTATGGTTATTTAACAGTGTTCTGGATTCTGAAGATGGATTTAGAGTAGAATTCTCTAAATCCTTTGAAGGAACCCCTATTCAACTTACTGGTATTTTGACACCATGCTAGAGATTTATTTACTTCTTTCATTAGTTCAATTATTTATAACTGGTGAGTTTTATATGCTTAGGAGTTCTTTTTATAAGTCTTTCTTTATCTTTTAATTTTATATATTTTCTGGGAGGAAATGACATGTGCTAACAACACCCTTTTTCATTGTAGGTTAGCATCTTGCAAGGGGGTAGTAACATATCGAGTCGTGAAACTGGGAAAGGCCAGAGCTCTCAGATCAGAAAAACATGTCCCGCCGGAAACAGACAAATCCAAATAAAGTTCACTGTGAGTACTGAGCCTTGTCTTTTGGAATCTGGGAATGTTAAGGGTTGGAATAAGAGAGTAACCTGAATTAGGGTGAGAGACACATACTAATTTTTATTTATTTATTTATTTTTGTTTTTTTCCTGGTACTGGGAATCGAACTCACGACCTTGTGCTTGCCAGGCAGGCACTGTGCCACTGAGCTAAATCCCCAGTCCCATGTACTAATTTTTAATGAAGAAGGGGTTAAAAGTTCTGGATATATGGAGGCTGGACGTGGTGGTGCATACCTGTAATCCCAGCACTCAGGGAGGCTGAGGCAGGAGGATTGCTATGAATTTGAGGCCAGCCTGGGCTACATAGTGAGCTCAAGGCCAGCCTGAACTGCAGAGTGAGACCCTGTCTCAAAAAGACTGGAAAAAAAAAGTTTTGGATATATGGACTTAAAGTGTATGGTTACTGGAGTAAAACAGGGGCACATACCTGTCGTAGGGATATGTGCATTTGATTCACCTTTAATACCCACAATAACAGTTATAGGGTACCTACTTTATGTAGACGACTTCAGTAGACATAAGGGCTGTACAATAATATAAAATATATAAAACTGTAATGGCCTCATACACATGCACATATACCCAGACATACAAGGTAGCATATACTAAGTGTCAAGTAGGGATGCTACAGACTGTATGTATTACAGATATGAAAAGGAGGAAAATTGAAAGAGTTCTATGCACTGAGGTACCAAGAGAATGAATGCATGATGAAGGAGGCCCTATCATGAATTTAAGCTAGACCTTAGTAAAAAGTGGAACTAAAAAAAAGTGAGAAGAGGGAGAGGGAAAATCATGTGAATAGTTACAAGAGGAATGCACATGGCATATTCAGAGAATGAGATTTTGTATAAAACAAGTTTTGAAGTCATAACACATAAAATTAGAGATGTTTAATTCTACAGTGTGGAGGCCTGAGGGTTGATGCAAATGCAAACTTCATTGTGTAGACTTGAGAGTTATCAAAGGTTTTTCAACAGGGAAAGAGGAGTGACATTTAGAATGTAGTTTTGGTACTATGAAGCAGTGTGTGGGATGGATCACATAAGGGAGACTAGAACAAGAAGACAGGCTTTCACTGTTGCTTTGTATTGTTTCTTAGCAGTTTCATGTGTATAGTCTATTCTGCACTTGGGGCTGGGGATTTAGCTCAGCGGCACAGCGCCTGCCTGGCAAGCACAAGGTTGTGAGTTCTATTCCTGGTACCGGAAAAAAAACAAAAACAAAAACAAATAATAATAATAAAAATAATAGTCTATTCTGCACGTCTAAGGAGCAGAGATTATGTGCTGTGTGTCTCTCTACTTCTGGCACTGCTCATAGATGGTATTCCAAAAATACTCTCTAAATTAACAGTAATATCTGTGTAGATCTGAGATAACCATTTTCTTACGATCTGGGGGGATAAGCATTCTCACACAAATGATCATAAAAGAGACAAATAGTTACTATTATGGCAGACTGATTGAGTAAAGTGCAACAACCTTTGAAGAAAATTCAAAAGCATAACACAAGATTTTGTTTTAAGGCAAAAAAAAAAACAAAAAAAAGCAAACAAAAAAAACCAACCCACTACATTTGAGAGGATAGTTTAGCTAAGGAATTAAAAGAATTAAAGTTTATTAAAAATATATTTATCAGTGCCAGACACTGATAAATCTTTTCTGGGTAATTTTAAGAGCAGAAGAGAAAATAGTTTAAACAGAGAGAATTAGGATGACTTTGACATTTTATAGATTAATAATGAGGTTAGCGGACTTCCACATATAATTATTCTATGTCAGTCCTGGAAAAGTTCTATAAGATGGGACTAGCACTCAGGAGGCTGAGGCAGGAGGGTTACCTCAAGTTTGAGGCCAGCCGTGGCTACATAGTAAGTTCAAGGCCAGCATGAATTGCAGAGTAAGACCCTGACTCAAAAAGCCAAAAGAAAAAAAAAAAAGTATATTCTGGAATAGGTGGATATGCAAGGCTGCTTAATATAAAGGTGAATGGTTTATGAAGATTTAGAAGTAGCTGCTAAAACACTTAAGATACAGTGTGGGCCAGGGATGTAGCTCAGTGGCTCAGCAGCTACCTGGCAAGCACGAGATCGTGAGTTTGATTCCTGGTACCAAAAAAAACAAAAACAAAAAATAAGACCCAATGTGCTTCAGTGTGAAGATTGTCAAGGGAGATAAAATTAAGTATAGCTAGCGTACGTCAACACAGGTTCAGGGGGATTGTCTTCCCCTTCTGCAGTCAAAGATGAAAAAGGTATAAATACAGACCACAAGAAGACAGAGCAGGAAAGGTACCCTTCATAGAGATTATGGGTTTACAGATAAGGCAATTAAAGGAGTTGGGTGTCCATATTGTAAAGCTGCCTGTACAGAGTCTGATTAGATTTGAGAAAAGTAGCTGGAGGGGATGATGGCAAGATTGTAGTAAGGCTGCAGCAACCAGCAAAGTCTTGGTTGGCCTGTGCTTACATCCACATAGCATATATCCATCGGTTGCATCTCCTCCCACCCTAACTAGTCAAAGCTAAGATGAGTTGATGCTGGTATTGCAGTTGGAAAACAGAAAGACAGACAGGCCATGGAGAAGGGGAAATACCACAGGTCCACAGCTAGAAATGCGGTTACCAGAGTCAAGCAAGTGAATGCTGCACTGTTTGTGGGATGGATGGGGCTTTGCAGGCTCTTCATTAAGAGGGTCTTTACTGTGGGGCTGTAAATGCAAACATTCCACAGCAACTAAAAAGCAAGCCCAAAGAGGGGCTGTTTTAAGTGATGTATCTGGGCAAGGAGCTGTGAAGGCTATCCAGTAATGGACTAAGCTCAACCAAAGAAAATAATATACTGAGATTTGCTGATTTCTTAAGAACTTCTGTTTATTTATTATTTGGGGACGGAAACTGACCCTACACTTTTTTTTTTTGAGACAGGGTTTCGCTGTGTAGTCCAGGCTGGCCTTGAACTCACTATGTAGCTCAGGTTGGCCGCAAACTTGCAGTGATCCTCCTGCCTCAACCTCACAGTGTGCTGGGATTACAGGCATGTGCCACCACGCCTGGCTCAACTCTACCCTTTGTGAAAGATCATCTTTTTTTCATTGCCCATGACAATAATGGCAACTAGAAATAGGTACTTTTAGTTTTCTGAAAATTTTAGTCTCTTACACATTTTGCAGTGAAATAGAGCTAATCATATGTATTGATTTTTTCTGTTTTGTTTTGTTTTTCCGGTACCAGGAATCGAACTCACAACCTCGCACTTGCCAGGCAGGCGCTGTGCTGCTGAGCTAAATCCCCAGCCCCCCATATGTATTGAATTTAGTGCTGTTTATCTATTTAAAGTACATGGAAGCTGGGCATGGTGGCACATACCTGTAATCCCAGTACTCTGGAAGGGGGAGGCTGAGCAAGAGGATTGTTGCAAGTTTAAGGGCAGCCTGGGCTTCAAAGTGAGCTCTAGGCCAGCCTGAACTGCATTTTGAGATCCTGTCTCAAAAAGATAAAACTAAACACAAAACCAAAATAAAGTAAATGGAGTGGACTAAAGGTCTGGGAACCAGGGAGGTCTGCAGAAGATTTGCTTAAATATCAAAACCAACCAGCACTTGAGCAGAGTAATGGCTGAGCTTTATTACATCTGCCTTCTGGGAAGAAGATTATGTGGCATGATGCTAAAAGCACGCCTAAAAGGATATATTAAGAATCCCACTGCTATAGCCCAGCAGCATTTGTCAGATCTGCTTTAGATCGGGAGGCTGCTTTGGCAGTGATTTGGTTTTCCTCGGGACTGCTTTTATATCACATGCTGGAATGATCCTTTCCCCAGAAATATCCACACAAACTCTTTCTCTTTTGCCCACTCTTGCTTCATTAATAGACTCATTTGCAATAAAAGTCCAGAACTGTTAGTCATGGAGAGATGTGCTGCATTGAAATCTATTTTATATCTTCTCCATCATCGCCTCCATTTCACTCCTTTGAGTACAAATCCTGTCATTTATTTCTAGAGAGGTAGAAAATACAGTCTTTTGTAGTGCTCAGATATAGGGAGTTTGAACCAGACAAACCACTAAGAAAGGAAATTTTGAGAGATTTTGCTTTCAGATTGCAGGATACATTAAAGACTAGAAAACTTCAACTAAAAGCTTTTCTTAGAGGAGAAGGAATAAAAGCCTGTAAGGTCTTTTCTCTTCTAAAAAGCACAGCTTCTTTTGTCTTCATTCATTCTGTTTGGCATTCTCATAAGGTAGTGGCTGTGTTCCCAACATGTGATACCACCTGGGTTACAAGACTGTCAGCTAGAAATGGAATCCTAAGCTCCTCACTTCCACTAGCTCCTTTTTTTCTGACCTTGACATCTGCTCCCTTAGAGAATATGTTTTGGCTGCTTTATTTAATTTCAGTCAGTCCGAAATTGCATTTGTTTAACAGTACCAAGGATCCAAGAAAGACAATTATAAAATCTTTGCCTTCTAGAGACTTTCATCCCATTCTTTTTGTCTGTACTCTGAACTGGCTTGTGTGGCCTCATTCTTACATGATCTGAAAAACCTAAGCCAAATCAAAGACAAACAGGATTTTGATTTTTGTACCAAAAAAAAGTAGATGTAGTACCTTGTTTTTTATAGTGGAGCCCAACTATTAATAGATAAATAAATGCCCATATTTAATAAGACAAATGCCCTACATTAATGTCTAGGGACCAGATGATTTTTTAAAACCTACTCTGTCTCAAAATAAAAATAATTCTACATTATAAAAATAGGCAGGTTTATAGCAGTGTGTGTGTGTGTGTGTGTGTGTGTGAGAGAGAGAGAGAGAGAGAGAGAGAGAGAGAGAGAAAGAGAGAGAGTTAGTAACTGGGGATTGAACCCAGGACCTTCGCACTGAGCTACATCCCAGGTCTTTGTATATTTATGTTGAGATAGGATCTAAGTTGCTCAGGCAATCCTCCTATCTCAACCTCT